GCATCTGACCTCTCCACATCCTTTTAACACCAACTCCTCATGCCACTTCTTTTTCCTCCTCTCCCACAAATCCACCCACACACTCTTAATCTCGCAAATTTGATCAATTTATCAGTGTACTTCCAACGCCCAAAGCCAGACAGAGAATGGTGCTAATTTGACTACTCGGGCAAATGAATGAAATGAATGAACAGATCAATGAATGGATAGACCAAAACAAGTATCTTCAGTTTTTTTAAGGAAATGACATATTTGGGGAATAATGCAAAGAGACTCTGTGACTTAACGTCATGGAAATTTTTTTAAGGCTTGAATTGGTCAGCCACACAGGAGGCTGATGTGTTCTGAAGATGCTAGGATAGCAGAGTGGACTCCAGCCTGTCTGGGGTCTATGGATAAATTCATTTCTTTGATCAGGGCTTGAAGTTCTTAGCAAAACATGTCCAAATAGAGTTTAGCAGGAGGATGTTAGCCAGAGAGATGATAACTGAATTCTGAGTCCTGTAATCCAGCCTGACCCTTGTACCACTGCCTTAATGTAGTGAGTTCAGCTTTAGTAAGGAACTGACTCGTAGTCAGCCCAGTGAAGACAGAGGAGTTTTGTGATATGTTTAAAGTATTTTGGGCATCTCAGAACATCCTCATTTTATAAAGTACTGTCTTGGCTGCTTTTCTTACTTTTAACTCTGAAGGGCATGATAGCAAACTTTCTCCATGGGAGGGAAGAAAAATGGGCAGTAATCTAAATGATGTCCATTACTAGCTCTGAAGTTCATTTTCCTTATTTATTCTATTATCGTGTACCATAATTAATTCTAAAACAGGTGGTTAATAATGCCACATCAGGAAGCATCCATACTTCCACAGGCATGACTACTATTCATGTAAACACTTTCATTCTTGGGCAGATTCATATTATCTGAAAATTATCAGTAGAATGATACAAGAGGCTCCAAATGTGTGTGCATAATCACCGAATATCTTTATTGTTGGCATTGTATAAAACATGAATGAGATTTCTTCCCGATTTCAGTAATTAAGCACCACTGCCAATATCAATTTTTCATTAATTAAGTGGAAGGATATAGAATGTAATGATACAGTTCTATTACACGTAAATTAAACTGAGTATATAGTTCAAAAAGGGGTGCTGATAAGGTGGATTTTAATGATTTTAAAAAGGGGCCGGCGCTGTGGTGTAACCGGTAAAGCTGTCGCCTGCAGTGCTGGCATCCCATATGTGCGCTGATTTGAATCCCGGCTGCTCCACTTCCAACCCAGCTCTCTGCTATGGCCTGGGAAACCAATGGAAGATGGCCCAAGTCCTTGGGGCCCCTGAACCTGCGTGGGAAGACCCAGAAGTAGCTCCTAGCTCCTGACTTTCAAATAAATAAATAAATCTTTTTTTTTAATTTTGAAAGGTAGAGTTATAGACAGTGAGAGAAACAGAGAGGAAGGTCTTCCTTCCATTGGTTCACTCCCCAAATGGCTGCTACGGCCGGAGCTACGCCCATCTGAAGCCAGGGGCCAGGTGCTTCCTCCTGGTCTCCCGGGATTAACCAAGTGAGCCATGGCGCTGGCCCCCTAAATAAATCTTTAAAAAAAAAAAGATTTAAAACAAGTTTTTCTTGGCTAAAAGTAGAGATAGTTGATGACCTCCACAGTAAATACACATAATTTCCTTTATTCATTTAAAGATTCATTGAACAAGTACTCTATGCTAGATACTGATTTTGACACTGGAGACACATAGGGAACTTATTTTATGCTTTATAAATTTGGATTTTGGTATTTTGTGATTGTTATATATACTTGTATATTCCCTTTGGTGGAGAAGTAGTGGGGATTATCTGCTTCAATTACATTTGAAATGGTCAAATACCTTTTATGCACAACATTAGTGCAAGAACTATAGGAAATAATTAATGAAGATATCAGTTTCTGCTCTCTAAAGGCTATGATCTAGTTAAATCAGTGGCACTTCACCAGGGGTGATTTTGCCTGCCCCCAGGGCACATTTGGCAATGTCCAGAGACATTTTTGGTTGTCACAATGGGAGGGAGGGATGCTACAGACCTGTAGTGGGTAGAGGCCAGGAATTCCTGCTAACCATGTCACAGTGTACAAGACAGCCCTACAACAAATCAATTTCTGGCTCAAAATGTCCAAAGTGACCAGGTTGCAAAACTCAGAGGATATACACAGCGAAAGTTTTTGGTTTTTATTGTAAGGTAGTAGATGTTAAAAGAGTATTAAATACAAGGCAATTCTACACTGACTTGGGTAGGAGGGGGTCACAAAGGAAATGGACCTGAAAGCACAGCATCGCCTCCATGGCCCTACTGCCTCCACAACCTCTTCTCCCCTGTTACAGAAATCTGAGGTGGGGAGACTCCCTTTGTTCAAACAGGCACCAGAGACAGTGGAGGATTGAAGTAGTTTATTACGCCAGCGGGCTCAGCTGGACTCATTTCCCAAGTTTCTTACAAAATTTATAGGTTCCTCAGCATCATACCTTAGCTGGTACAGCATTGGTGGGTTGAAATTGCAGCCTACGTGTCTTAGGACCACACTTCCAATGGTCGGAGGGCCTGGTGTGATTGTAGAAGAGATACCAAGGGCAGATTTACTAGGACAGATTTATGACTGGAGTTTACAGAAGCAGAACTTAGGACTTCTTCCCTCCCTAGACAAGATAACAGTGGGCAGCTGCTTCACTCGTTAACTGGGAGCAGCCACTTTTCAAGGTCTGTGTTGGGAGGTGGGGTCTGCTTCTCTTTGTCCCTGATGGCGGCCGTATTTCCTCTACAAAACTCCACACTCCACCACGGCTTTTCACTACAGCCCACCTGCTTTGGTAGTCCCTGGGAAAGGTCAAACATACTCTGTCTTATGGATTCTCCTCTAAGTTTCCCTCTGATTTAAAGGGCCTTCCCCAGATACCCACATAGCTCCATCCCTCACTCCCTGCTGTTCTCTTCTGTGTTCAGTCTCATTGGAGACGCCTTCCCTAAACATGTCAACTCCTGCCCCCTCCACTCCCTTTCTCTTTCCTAGGATCTCTTGCTCTCCGTAGAAAGAGTGTACCGGGCCAAGACCAAACACTCAAATCACACCAAAGGCCTTCAGAAAGTTTATGGAAAATGCATATTTTGAAGAATGATACCTGAATTTCAAAAGTTATTCCACCCAAAGAAACTTTTATCTCTCATTTTCCACACACTTTCTGAAGTACCCTCCCATACACAGAATAACTTACATATCAATAATGGCAGTGTTCTTCAGCGTAAGCCGTGAGAAGTTTGAACGAACCTCAATACAGGTATCCCCAGTGGCCTACAACTCTGCCTGCTTCAATGTAGACTTCATAAACAGAGAATAAAGAATGACAAAATAGCCAGAGGGAATGAACATAAACAAACCTAGCTCAAAACCACTTTGAAAGATTTATTTATTTGAAATAAAGACTGAGAGGGAGAGAGAGAAAGAGGTGGGAAGGAGAGAGAAAGAGAAAAACAATCTTCCATCCTCTGGCTCACTTCCCTAATGGCCACAACACTCAGGTCTGGTCCAGCCTAAACCAGGAAGCAGCAACCCTTTCTGGGTCTCCCATGTGGGTGGCAGAGGCCCAAGTACATGGGTCATCTTCCCAGGCACATTAGCAGAGAGATGGATGGCAATCAGAGCAGACAGGACTTGAATCAGAACGCTGATAAGGGATGCCGGCCTCAAAACCAGTGGTTTAACCAGCTGTGCCACAACACCAGCCCCATAACCATTTTTTTAAAATACTTTTTAAAAAAGTATTCTATTTTAAAAAGTATACTATTTTAAAAAGTATTCTGGGGCCTGCGCTGTGGTGTAGTGGGTAAAGTCGCTGTCTGCAGTGCCCGCATCCCTGGTTCAAGTCCACATCCCCGGTTCAAGTCCCGGTTGCTCTGATTCTGATCCAGCTCTCTCCTATGGCCTGGGAAAGCAGTGGAAGGTGGCCCAAGTCCTTGGGCCCCTGCACCCACGTGGGAGACCCGGAGGCTCCTGGCTCCTGGCTTCAGATTGGTTCAGCTCCAGCCGTTGCGGCCATCTGGGGAGTGAACCAGCAGATGAAAGACCTCTCTCTCTCTGCCTCTCCTCTCTCTGTGTAGCTCTTTCAAATAAATAAATAAATCTTTACAAAAAAGTATTCTAAGGACATTTACTACCTTCCATGTATACTAGCATATTTAGATGTACTTAATAAATATTTTATTCTTATTTCTGACTGTTTTATCACTTTTTCACATTATATTTATTCCAGACATCGATCTTGCGTTAAGAAAGTTTCTGAAACTCTATATTCCAGCTATATGTTAAACCAGGTATTATGTTAAAAATAATGCATTTCAAATAGTCCAATCTAAAGGCAGCTCTTTGCCAAAGCAATTCTACAATTTTCTATTTTCATTTGCACGTCATTACTCATTCTCCCACACTGCACTCAGGGAACCACTACAATTATGCTAATACTCACAGCAATAGTAGCTAATGTTTATGAGAACTTTTTGTGCTAAGGCCCTTCCTGAAGTCTGTGCATACATTATCGGGTTTTGTTCGTATCACCAGAAATCAATGTTACACATTCATGTATATTAATCAACTCTAAATTATTTTCTGTTGCTGGCCCAAGGCTCAAACCCCCAACCCCGCCCCCAGCTCTACTACCTGCATCGGGCTCCTGCCCACTTTCTCTTTTCTGCCACCTGCAGGCATCCCCCTTTCCAGGGGAGCCAGGAGCGCTCCTTCCCCTCCCACTTGCTTTGCCATGGGAACCGCGAAAGCCACCGTTTCCCCACATCCCTTGCCCCGCCCCCCGCCCCCCTCCCCTCCCTGAAGGCAATCTGGCTCGCACCAGATCTGACGCCGGGCTACGCGACCTGCACATGGGGCTGCCTAGCAACAGTGCCGCCCAATCAGAAGCGCGCCGGGCAGGGGACCAGGCGAGCGAGTAGGTGCGCGCGAGTAGGTGCGCGCGCACGCGTTACGTTTTTACGGCAGATAAACCGCGCCAACAGTCTCTCCTGAGCCGCGGTGGAATAGCAGTCGCCCTGAAAGCGCGCGGTTTTTGGGCTCCCGGCTTTGGGACAGGGAAAACTAGCTTTTGGGACTGAAGAGGGTACAGAGTTAGCTCACGATGTCTGACGAGTCAGAACAGCCTCAGGAAGGCCCCTCAGGTGCCGGACTAGATTGGTCGAATCTTGAGAGAAATCGGGCTGGGGTCCCGGGAGGGGTGATTCGAAGGGCTCGTGGTCAAGGGTGCATGTCCTGGATCCAGAAAGTTCTAGAACAGATAATAGATTCACCTCTCAAGTGGGTCACCCCAAAGGAGGTGGCTTTTGTCAGCGTGCTGGCCGTCCAAAGATACCTGTTAGAGGAGGAGCCAAACGACACGGTGCGCGGGGGGCCCCTGTACTGTTACGATGTGACCATCTCGGACGGGGTGTATCAGGAAAAGTGCTACCTAGATCCGAGCCTGAACTCTCTTGTTTATAAAAATATTCTTAAAGTTGGCATAGAAATGAAAATTTCCAGAGTCTCGTGTCTTTACAACGAGAAAAGATTAGGCCAGGGGATCTTGTGCATCGATAACGTCCAATGTGGGCGGACTTTGGACGCGATTTCTTTAGAAACTCCCTTCAGAAATAGAGCGCATGGGGTCAAACCCGAGAGGCCCTTGAGGGGCGGGAAGAGTCATTACCTGGCGCTGTGGAATAACGAAGACCCCTACGGAGATATCTGGTTAACTGACAAGCAGCCCAAGGAACACAATTTTACAAGTAAGTAATTGGAGGGAACGACGGGGGGTGGGGGGGATAAAACGGAATTTGCGGATGTTTGGCTAAGGGAAAAAGAAACGAAGGCGCTTTTTGTGGTGTTAATTACAAGCCTGGAGTGGTAGTAGACAAATTTTCTTCCGTGAGGAAGAGAGAGATGCTATGCTAATGACATTTGCGCGGCTCCTGTATTGGTTTGACCGCAAAGTGGCCATTCAGGAGGTGTCTGACTACATCTTAAATTCCAGCTGGCGCACGTACTGATGTGGAAGTCATTATTCCTCAGGTACCCGTTATCCATTTGGATACGGTGGAATTATTGTTTCGTTCACGTTTCAGTCATGGAAAGCGCGCCTTGTGTCCGTTGAACAGTCTATAGATTTGATTTTTGAATAAAAGTTTTAAATATTTCCAGTTTTGGCATGTGTTAGCTCTTCATTCAAAAAGGATGTTCTGTGATGTATTCCTTAATAATTTGCTTTATTCAAAACACCAGTTTTATGTCTGGGTGTCACAGTTGCGTAAATATCGCTTTCTGAATGTGGGATTTTGTGGGAAGGCTTGGGATTCTCGTTTTCCTATTTCTTATTGTTTAGCATGACTGGTTCTGATCTGAGAAGTGCAATTTTTCCGTGTCAGAAGTAGGAAGTCAAACCTGAAAATGCCAGCTCCTCATCAACTGCTTTAAAATGCCTTTTCTCCTATAAGACATGGAATTAAAGGGGAATGGTAGTGCTGTGGGTATAAACACATATGCAGCAGGAAGGAAATAAAATATAAAAGAGAAAATAAAAAATGGAAGGAGAAAGATTATCATTTTCTACACTTATTGCTTCTAGTCCTTTTTTTTTGTTATGTTGTCACGGTGTTAAGTCGTAGATGGCTTTATTAAGATGGATAACCTCAACAAACTTGAAAATGAAAGAAGAACTGGCTTAAGAAAGATGCAATTGTAGTCATATTCACTTATAAGGAGGAAAAGATGTTATAGAAATCTGTGGCCAAGGATGATTTAAAATGTAAAAGCAAAATGGTTCTTTCCCGAATAAAATACTGGATTAATTTTATCTCAAATGTGGAATAAGGCAATTGTGCATTATTACTCTAAATATTGATCTGTTTTGTTTTTAGAATTGAATATGTAAGTGAAAAATTGGTGCCCTAGGAGAAGAATTAAAAGGGAATACTGAAATAATAGTATTTTAGTTTGTTCTGATTGTGAAAGTAAGATCTATTCATTTATCAAAACCATATTTTTATTACAAAAGGCAGTGTCCATGTGCTAAATAAAAATCCAAACTGTTTATTTCAAAATATAGTGGGTTAAAAATGTGAGACCCAAGTATAGTAAAACACTGGTGGCAAAGTCTGTTGTTCAACTGTGAAATTCTTTTGAGTTTACTGTATGTTTAACATTGTTAATAAAATTTTGGCATGTAGTGAAAAACCTTTTTCACATTTACTCATGCCTTTAACTTACCTCTCGAAATTCCAGACTGTCAGTAGTTTGGTTTGTATCTTTAAAAAAAAAAAAAGGCATCTTTCATTTATATCCGTACATACAGTATTCCACAGCATAGATGTCTGATAATTCTATAATCATGTCCCTGTCATTAGATAGTTCATAACTTCAGGCAAAATTAATTTTTCATATTAGAAAACTGTGCTGAAATCATTAGGATATATGCATATTTTTGTTGATTTGAATTTTACTTTTGAGTGGATGAATTTTTAGAAGTGAACTTGCTAGCTTAAAAGATTTGAATTTTTTGAATTTAATAGATATTGACAAGTCATCTTCAGAAAAGGTTATGTTAATTTACATTCACCAATATATGTCTGAGTGTGCCCATTTCCCCATATCTTACTGATTTTAAATTATATTTAAAATCTTTTTTTTTCAATCATGGAAAGCGCGCCTTGTGTCTGTTGAACAGTATATAGATTTGAACTTTGAACATAAGTTTTAAATATTTGTAGTTTGGCATGTACTAACTCTTCATTCAAAAATATGTTCTGATTATGAATTTTATTAATTCAAACTATTTTTATTAATTTAATTAATTTAAACAATTAGTTTAAAGAATTTTTATTTTACTAATTTAAATAGTTTATTTAAATAATTTGTTTGTTAATGAGTATTGAATCTTAGTGTGTTTTGTACTTCAAATTTTTTTCTCCCATTCTGTTCCTTTTCTCTTCATTTTGTTTATAGCCCACTTTTGTGCTTTTGAAACTTTTTATTAAGATACAACTTGCACACAGCAAAGTGAAAATTTTTAAAATACAATTTGATAAGTGTTTACATTTGTACGCATGTGTGAGCACCCATAATCAAGATGTAGAACATTTCAAGCACTCTGGATGACTCCCTCATAGTCCTTTCCAATCAATACATTCCCTGAATGATAACTCATACTGTGACCTTAAAGGTATCTTTTTAAAATCGAGGTTAGTTCATGGCACTCTCCTGCCTGAATCTCTCCAGTGGCTTCCCCTCTTGCATTTACACAGCAGTCCAGACTCCCTAACAGGGTCTAAAGATTCTGCAGCAAAGGTTAGCAAACTTTTTGTAAAGATCAAGTCAGTAGAGTGCTTGCAAAAGACACACCATTCTTGGGTTCTTCTCCAAAGTTAACTCCCTCAAAAAAAAGTATATAGATAGATAAAGCAAGCCTCAGAAAGGTTTCCTCTTATTGTAAAAACAAGTCTGTTGGTGTTCTATTGCACAGTAGGGTAATAATATTTAACAGATAGCATACTGTGCTTGTCTAATTAACTAGAAGAAAGACTTCTGAATGTGTGCAGTACAAAGAAACCTTGAATATACAAAGCGAAGGATGCTACGTATCCTAATATGATCATTAAAATGTATGCATGTATCAAAATATTACGTTGTACCACATAAAAATGTACAATTACTATTTGTCAAAAGAGTTTTAAAAAAAAGAGCCAGTCAATAAATCATTCATTTTCATGGAACATAGGGTCTCCGTGGTAACTGTTCTGTTTTGCCACTGTGTAAGGAGAGTAGCCATAGGTGATATGTGAATGAAGAAGTCTGGCTTTGTTCCAATAGAAATTCATTTACAAAAATGGGGAGCTGGCAGGATTTGGTTTGTGGGCTATAGTTTGTTGACCCCTGCCCTATAGAATCCAGTTACTCACCTCTCTAACTTCATCTCTTATTCCTCTACTCCATGATTATATTCTAGCAATACCAGCCACCTTTTTGATCCCCAAAGTACCTGCCTCAGGTACTTTGCACCTGCCTTTTCCTCTTTTTAGGAAGCTCCTTCCTAGCCTCAGGTTTCAGCTTAAATATATATATATATATATATATATATATATATATATAGTAGAAAGTGCTATTTAAATAAGTATTCTCTTCACATTTACTCTATTTACATCACCCTGCAAATGCCCTTCATAGAATCATAACACTCTGAAATTATTTTATTTGATTGTTTTCATTTTATCCCCATCTGGTTATATAAGAGTTGTGGCTCTTTTTTTCATTGTTGTGGGACATATTCCCTAGACTCAGAAAAACTTCTATCATCTAGTAGGCATTTAGTTACGTGTTTGTTGAATAAAGGAATGACTGAAATAAATTGTTAATATCAGATTCATATTAGCCTAGAAGAATGAGTTGAGCAACTTACCTGTTTTCCTGTGCTTATACAAAGTGTGCATTCATTAAAGATATGGTAGCATTTACCCTTTAAACTGCCTGAATCTGGTGTCTTGAGCCAGGATTGGGGAAGTGTTGGAATGACTCCTTTTCAATGGTTTGTAGAGAAAAATGATCAAACCAATATTGCTGCTTCTTGAGTCCATTTCTGAGAGTTGATATTTCACTAGGAAATCTCATTTCACCTCAATCTCGAAGTTGTACATGGTAATTCATATTTTTTAATCTGCCTTGTTGTGTCCTCTTTCATAGTCCTAATGTTTGTGTATTCACCTCTTCTCATGGTCAGCCTTGCCAGAGGTTTCTCCGTTTTATTGTTTTGTTTTCTTTTAAAGACCTGACTAACAAAGAAAGCTAGAGTGAGAAGATGGTTTCTACTTAATTCTGCCATCATCTTTAATTCTTGATACTTCTTTTATTCATTTTTTTCTTGTACTACTTTCTTGAGTTAAATGCGTGATTCATTTATTTCTGACAAAAGCTTTTAAAATTCTGAAATCTCCAAAGGATACTGCATTAGCTTTATCTCCCAGATTTTTAAGTGTAGGGATTTTATTGTTATTCATTACACTTATTTTCTAATTTTAATTTGAAACATCCGAAAGCTTACAAAAGACTTACTTATCAGGTATGAAATTCCTTTTTAAACCAGGCTTTTAAAATTTAATTCAGATATTCCATATCCTTCTTTTTAATCAATTTGCCTGTGTCTCTGAGAAGAGTATTGGCTTCCCTCTGTAATGATGGTTTTGTTTATTATATTTCTAAAAGTTTTTGCTTTAGATGTTGCTATAATTTGTAAAATATTGTGACTAATATCTTGTTGGTGAAATTTACCTTTTATCAATACGGAATTTGCCTCTTTGTTCTTTTTTGCCTGGATTCTGTTTTCTCTGTTAGTATTTACCACTTCTACTGTCTTTTTGGTAGCTGATAATGGTCCTTAAATGTGAATGGGCATGCATATCATACAGATTGCTGAGCCCGACCACCAGTTTCTGAAATATTAGGTCTGGGATATGGCTCTAGGATTTGCATTTCTAACAAGTTCATTGTAGTCAGTGATGCTGCAGGTACAAAAATGGCACTTGAGGGGCTGATATCAAGTTCTGGCACAGCTGGTTAAGCCACCACTTTCAGGGTCTTCCCATATCGCTAAGCACTGGTTTGAGTCTGAGACTGTTCTGCTCCCATTCTAGCTCCCAACTAATGTGCTAGGAAAATAAGCAGAAGATGGCCAGGTGTTTGCACCCTTGCCATTCACAAGGGGCTACGGGATATGGAATTTCAGTCTCCTGGTTTCAGCCTGGACCGGTCTAGCTGTTGTGGCCATTTTGGAGATAGACCAGTAGATGAATTTCCTTCTCTCTCTCTCTCTCTCTCTCTCTCTCTGGCACTCTTGCCTCTGCCCTCCTCCCCATTCCCCATTCGCCCTGTCTCTATAACTTTGAAATAAAAAAAAGAAATCTTTTTTTAAAATGACACTTGATTTCGATCCACTGGCCAAGGGCATGCTTGTCCATACCTTTATTTCCATTTTGCTTTAGATTTCTCTCTCTTTTTTTTAAAGATTTATTTTATTTATTTGAAAGACAGAGTTACAGACAGAGAGAGGTCTTCCATCTGCTGGGTCACTCCCCAAATGGCTGCAACAACTAGAGCTGCGCTGATCCGAGGCCAGGAGCCAGGAGCTTCTAACAGGTCTCCCACATTGGTACAGGGCCCAAGGACTTGGGCCATCTTCTACTGCTTTCCCAGGCCATAGCAGAGAGCTGGATCAGAAGAGGAGCAGCCAGGACTGGAACCAGCACCCATATGGGATGCTGCCACTTCAGGCCAGAGCTTTAACCCACTGCACCACAGTGCTGGCCCCTACATTTCTGTCTTAAGAAGCATGTAGCTAAGAGCCTGCTTTTCGACCCAAACTAATTTTTTTTCTTTTAAGAGATGAATTTAATGCAATTAATGATGCTTGTGCCTATTTCTAATTTCCTACTTTATGTTTACTGTATTCCATATTTTATTTTTTTTTTGGCTTTTTTACTTTTGTAAGGCTTACAATATTTTTTTTCTTTTAGTGGTTCAGAAGCTATGCATTATTCTTGCATTCTCCTGGGGGTTGTATTCAATGTTTTAATAAAATCATTTAAACTTACATGTCTGTGTCAGTCTCCAGAATTACTCAGGATTTATACTATACCCCTCCTGAACCAAGAGAAAATATTTTGTGTTTTGTACATATTTCTGTCAGAATTTTTCCCAATTACTATGTTTATAAAATGAATTGATGTAATTTCTATATTTTCCTGGACTCAGGGACAGATTATGGTTATTGAGAGTAAGAGCTATTTGAATATTTTTAGAATTTCCTTATAAAACTCTGTGAACCGGCCAGTATTTTGGAAGCCAGTATTTGTGAACTTTTTTCATTTTCTTCCTGTTCCAGTTTCCTTCTGCATCTTCAGATAATACTAATAATTTATATTTCTCTAGAAGATTATCTATTTCACTGGTACTTTCAAATTTATCAATATAAAATCACACATACTGGTTTAACCATTTTCTCTCTGTATATAGTCAATCACATTCTGAATACCACATTTATTTTTGTTTTTCATGATGAATTTGCCAAAGATTTACCTTTTCATTACTTTTTTCCAAAGAATTAGATTTATGATTGCCATTTCTTTTTATTGTGGTATCATGTCTCCTATTTCATTATTTTTAGCCTTTTTCTTGATTTATTTCTGCATTTCTTTGATTTATTTTTTAATAGCATTTTTAAAGAGGACTCCCTAGAGGTTTCCCCCAGAGATTTTCAGGGACTTCATGAGGTCAAAACTACTTTCATAATAGTATGAATGCTTTACTTGCCTTTTTGCACTCTCATTCTCTTGTAATTTTACAGAGACTACATGCTGTGTGATACTAAAACAGACTGAATGCTAAAGATGAGTCTTTAACTGTCTTCTATTAAGCTAAATACTAAAGAGATTTATAGAAATGTGAAAGGGGCCGGCGCCACGGCTCACTAGGCTAATCCTCCACCTTGCGGCGCCGGCACACTGGGTTCTAGTCCCGGTCGGGGCGCCGGATTCTGTCCCAGTTGCCCCTCTTCCAGGCCAGCTCTCTGCTGTGGCCCGGGAGTGCAGTGGAGGATGGCCCAAGTGCTTGGGCCCTGTACCCCATGGGAGACCAGGAGAAGTACCTGGCTCCTGCCATCAGATCAGCGCGGTGCGCCGGCCGCAGCACACCGGCTGCGGCGGCCATTGGAGGGTGAACCAACGGCAAAGGAGGACCTTCCTCTCGGTCTCTCTCTCTCTCACTGTCCACTCTGCCTGTAAAAAAGAAAGAAAGAAAGAAAGAAAGAAAGAAATGTAAAAGAATGCCCTCTATTTTTGTTTTGAAAAATAGTCAAAAGTATGTTATTTGTTATTATACATATTACGTTTATTATTGTTTTTAAATGCAGTGATTTTGAAAAAATTATTTACTTTATAACATACTAACTATTGATATATAATATATATAAACAAAAGCTTTTCAAGATCCTCATTAATTTTTTTAAAGATTGATTTATTTATTTGAAAGTCAATGTTAAACAGATAGGAGAGGCAGAGAGAGAGAGAGAGAGAGAGGTCTTCCGTCCAATGGTTCACTCCCCAGATGGCCGCAATGGCCAGAGCTGTGCTGATCTGAAGCCAGGAGCCAGGAGCTTCCTCCAGGTCTCCCACGTGGGTACAGGGGCCCAAGGACCTGGACCATCTTCTACTGCTTTCCCAGGCCATAACAGAGAGCTGGATTGGAAGTGGAGCAGCCAGGATTAGAACCGGCGCCCATGTGGATACCGACGCTTCAGGCTAGGGCGTTAACCCGCTGTGCCACAGCACTTGCACCTAGATCCTCATTAATTTTAAAGCATGTAAAAGACTCCTTAGACCAAAAAGTTTAAGAATCACTGCTCTGTTTGTTACTGGTTTATATTTGATACCTAATTTATTTATTTTTATTCTTGTTTGAAAATTTACACATATATTGTTCCAACTCATACAAATTTCTCCCTGTCTATAATAAATAGCCTGTGATTTCTTTTTGGAGATATATTTTTTTCTATGAAGTTTGATTAAAAAACCCAAACTAGGAAAAATGTTAAATAAGCCAGGTTCTGATAACAACTAACTCTGGACCTAATTATAATGGAAACAGTAGTTCTTAGACTTCTGGTGTTATAAAAGCTGTTTAGCTCTTGAATTTATTCCTGCCAGTAAAAGAGGCATAAGTGCCTTTGTTGATCAAGAATGTTCCACTTGTTCAGATAATTCAAAGCTGATCTGCAATTTGACTCGAGTAAAAAGTAATCACTTAATGACCTCAGATCGACTATTCGGACCTGGAGTCCTGGGCTATTACTGTGTAGATGCTCTTCAATTTAGGAGAGGGTTACATCCTGATAAACCCATTGTACATTAAAATTTTCATTAGTCAAAAATACATTAATATGCCTAACCTACTGAATATCTTAGTTTAGCAATGCAGTACAGTGTATAGGTTGTTTCCCATCCTGATAGAGAGGCTGACAGGGAACTGAACTCACTGCCAGTGCAAAAGAGAGGGTCATACTACATATCACTAGCCTGGGAAAAGATCAAAATTTGAAATTTGAAGTGTACTGAAAGCATACTTTTACCCATTTTAAAGTTGAAAAATTGTGAGCAAACCATCATAATTAAGAGACTGTCTATATTAGGAGAATCTGGAAGGAAAATTACACAAAATATCCTACCTAATAATACTGAAAACTGTGTGTGTGTTTATCATATAGGCATAATTGTGAAATGCATTTGAACGCTTGTTTAAAAGAAATTACAAGTAGGATTTCATATCACAATAAAGACAAAAGTGAAGTTGCTATAGCAAAATGACTACTGGAAGTAATGCAAGTTCAGATTTTAAAAGTTGGGAATGTAGGTTGTAAGAAAGCAAAATGTGAAGAGAACTTCAAATGGAACCTCTCTTAACCCAAGGAATATTGAAACCAGAAGTATAGGTTAATCCTTTAAGATGATTAATAACTTTTTTTTTAAACAAAAAGGTTTTTTTAGATTTATTTTATTTATTTGAAAGAGTTACAGAGAGAGAGAGGTCTTCCATCCACTGGTTCACTCCCCAGGTGGCTGCAATGGCTGGAACTGCTCCGATCCAAAACCAGGAGCCAGGAGCTTCCTCTGGGTCTCCCATGTGGGTGCAGGGGCCCAAGCGCTTGGGCCATCCTCCATTGCTTTCCTAGGCCATAGCAGACAGCTGAATCAAAAGAGGAGCAGCCGGGACTAGAACCTGTGCCCATATGGGATGCCGGCGTCTCAGGCCAGGGCCTTAACCCACTGCACCACAGTACCGGCCCCTGATTAATAGCTTTTAAACAGTTTTTCTGCTTGCCAACAGGCTTGAAGAATAAACATTTCCAAGTAAATTGTATGGTATATGAGAAAATAGTAAGTTGTATTTAGAAAAATAAAGTGGGATGCAGGATAAGAAAAGGGGTCAGTTTTCAATTGGGTTGTTGGGAATAACACCACTGAGAAAATGACCTTTGAGAAAAACTTGAATAGGAAAGAAAGAAAGTCACTCGGATATTTAAGGGGTGCTGTTTCAGACAAGGGGAGCAGCAAGTGCAGAGGCTCGGATATAGGATCATGTCTGACATGTTTGGGGAAGATGGAATTTACGTACATGAATCTAAGAGGACAATACAAAAATGTGTCATTCTATAAATTAAATATGTAAATGCTTAGTAGGGGAAATTATTAGATGACGTTTTTTTCCACAGAATGTTTTAAGGGAATTGAGTTTAGATCTTGGGAAGTAATTAAATGGTTCAATAAGATAGAGGGCATTTTTGATGGAACAGTGTCCCAGGCACATGGTAAATCATACATATATATCTGTTATGAGTAAGGATATAGTGTGTCATTTATGTTGGAGAAGTATACAGACTGCCTTAGCAATTGCTGTGGGTATGATTTGGCTACCATTTTAACAATTAAAATAGATCTTTGAAGTTAACATGATATATTAAAATGTTTTCCTCCTTTTTGTGTTCTAGATACTAAAATAATTTCCCTTTCTCATCTTGAAACAACCTGGACTGACAGAAATGACTTTCCTGCACTGCTTGTGAGGATCTTGCGTAAATCAAAACTGCGATACTATGGGAAACCTGATAAAAAGACAATTGAGCCATACCAGGTACTAGCAATGATATTACATGTTTATTTAAAATTCTAAATTATAACTTAAAGACATCACTCCATGTTAGGATAACTTACTTGTTTAAATAATATTTCTTAGATTCAATTTAATAATTTAAAAATGTGCATAGCTGTGTATTACAAAGTATTTATTATGTAATTTATATTACAAAAAGGGAATTCTTTCTGTATTGGTACCCTTTAGTTCCCTGATTCACCTGGCCTTCTTCACACATTTTTCTTTTATTTTTTAAGATCTATTTATTTACTTGAAATGCAGAGGCAGAGAGAGAGAGAGAGAGAGAGAGAGAGAGAGACGTCTTCCATCTGCTGGTTCATTCCTCAGTTGGCCACAACGGCCAGAGCTGTGCCTATCCAAAGCCAGGAGCTTCTTCTGGGTCTCCCACATGGGTGCAGGGGCCCAAGGACTTGGGCTGTCTTCTGCTGCTTTCCCAGGCCATAGCAGAGAGCTGGATCAGAAGTGGAACAGCCAGGATTAGAACCGACGCCCATATGGGATGCTGGCACTGTTGGCTTTACCCAGTATGCCACAGTGCCAGCCCCCACACCTTTTTCTTTGTCTTCAATATCTTCTTCTTTCAGATAGGCCTCTTCTCTCCTTATATTCAGATATCTTTATTCATAACAGATATATATGTATGATTTACCATGTGCCTGGGACACTGTTCCATCAAAAACGCCCTCTGCCTTGTTGAACCATTTAATTACTTCCTGAGATCTTGGATCTAAACTCAATTCCCTTAAAACGTTCTGTGGAAAAAAACGTCATCTAATAATTTCCCCTACTAAGCATTTACATATTTAATTTATAGAATGACACATTTTTGTATTGTCTTCTCAGACTCATGTATGTAAATTCCACCTTCCCCAAACATGTCAGACATGATCCTTTATCTGGGCCCCTCCACTTGCTGCTCCCCTGTCTGAAATGGCACCCCTTAAATATCCAAGTGACAAGTACACTGTGCTGGGTGTTTTTACTTTCCTGCCTCTCATTGACTTCTCAACATTAATTAGTTGGGCTTTTTTCTCCAACTTGTCATCCACAAGTAACCTAATTATCAAATTTATGTGACTTTTCTGTTATCTTGACTTTATGAGCCATATAGTGCTGATGAGATCTATTTTCTTGATGGGCTGTGTTGTTTCTTTTTATGTAATAGTTTATTGTATTTTTTCATGTTATCAAGAACTATTTTAGGTGTTCTATTAAGCTCTTATTATAAAGGTTATATATGTTTATTGTAGGGAATTTGGAAAATGTAGAAAGCTTATAAAAAGAATAATCCTGAGGGGCCAGTGCTATAGGGTATTGGGTAAAGTTGCCACCCATAGTGCCAGCATCCCATACGGGCACCAGTTTGAGTCCCAGCTGCTCCACTTCTGATTCAGTTCCCTGCTAATACACCTGGGAAAGCAGTGGAAGATGCCCTAAATCCTTGGGCCCCTGCACCTACATGGGAGACCTGGGGGAAGCTCCTGGTTCCTGGCTTCAGATCGGCACAGCTCCAGCCATTGTGGCTCTTTGGGGAGTAAGCCAGTGGATGAAGACCTCTCTCTCTCTTTCTTTTTTTTTCTCTCTTTCTGTCTCTGCCTCTCTGTAACTCTGCCCTTTGGATGAAATAAATAAATCTTTTTTTAAAAATAAAAAAAGAATAATCCTGATACTACTCAAGATCCTACCACGCAGAAAGAGCTCTGTTTACATGATGTGTTTTATTCCCTTTCTGTATGTGTATGAATTATTTATATATTCATTTCTTTACATATTATGGACGCATCTTCTATCATGCCATACATGTTTCATATATCACCTATATATGCATATCACATGGAATTACTTTACAAAATGGTGGCATATTGTGCATATGATTTTGTATCATTTAACATTTTCTTAAGTATTTTTATATCATTAAAGGTCTTTATAGTTTTTCATAGCTATAGATTCTGTCATGATTTTGTAAATTATTTAGTCATTCCCTTATAGTTTTTTGCTTCTTGATTGTTGAAATATGCTCCTCCGTGGATTTTTTTTTTATCTGTTTGTTACTTTGTATTCCTGTGTCCTAAGTCTCATCATCTTGCTCCTCTTGCTTACCTCTGGTTACATTTCCTCCTGAGCTCTTCATACCACAAACTAGCCAAATTGCCCTATCTAGAATTTCACAAAGGTAACCAGTTGTTTTCAGCCTTTCATGCCTCTGCTCATATTATTCCTTCTCCCTAGAGTGATTTTCCTTCTAATGCTTATCAAACTGCAAAACCAACCTTAAGTTCAATGCTTACTGCTGCTTTAAGCCTTTCCCTGTATAAGCATATGCATAGTGAGTAGGAAGAACCAACTATACATTCTACTGCATGCCCTACCTTTCATACAGCTATCACGGTGTATATATAACCTGTATGTACCTATTTGTTAATAGATTTGTTAAGCTTATTCTACTGTACACTCTGCTACTTTAGGAAAGCAATGTGCTATAATGATTCAGTGTTCATGCCCTGTATTCAAGTGAGCTAAGTTCAAATTTCAGCTCTGTCTATAATTTTTAATCTTTATAATATTATGGAAGTTAGTTAACCTCTTTAAGCATCAGTATACTCATCCATAAAATGGAGATAGTAACTATATTTACCTTACAAGGATGATGTGAGGGTTGAACTAGTTAATGTTGGTAAAGGATTCACATATATTTCAGGCATATAGTAAGTTCTATATAGTTTTTTTTTAAAAGATTTTATTTATTTATTTGAGAAGTAGAGGTACAGAGAGAGGGAGAGACAGAGAGAGAGGTCTTCCATCTGCTGGTTTACTCCCCAAATGGCTGAAATGGCCAGTGCTGAGCCAATCCAAAGCCAGAGGCCAGGAGCTTCTCCCAGGCCGGGAGTGCAGCGGCCCAAGCACTTGAGCCATCCTCTGCTGCTTTCCCAGGCCATAGCAGAGAGCTGGATCAGAAGAGGAGCAGCCAGGACTAGAAACAGCACCCATATGGGATGCCAGCACTTCAGACGAAGGCTTAGCTCACTACTCCACAGTGCTGGGCCCCCTAGTTTTTAGCTGTTATTATTAGAGATAGTATCTGGCTCTTCTTTTCATCCCAGTGACCAACATAATGTCTGGGACATAATAGGAATTCAGTATGTGTATAATGAGTAAAGGGGTAAATTACCCAAAATATATATTTATCAGTAAGAGAAAGGATCTGAGAATGTAACATCAGAATTTATGAAAAAAACTTAAAAGCTAGAGAACACTTTGAAGGCTACCTTTAGGCAGAACCACTGTTGTCTGTCACTGTATTTTAAAACTGAGAAAAACACCATAAAATATTTTCTTCTTAACAGATTTCTCTATTTTGACCATAACCAGTCTGAGCAATAATGTATACTGGCATTAATATGTTTCTTCTGCTAGAATAGGTTCTCAAGTAGTATCTTAGAAATAATTGTCACATTATGGAAACCAAAGCTTCAGATGCCACTGCAAGTAAACTGATATAATCAATGACTTGATGGTGTTGTGCTCACTTAGTTATATGTCTCCCTAAAGTTTTATAATATTAATATCAAGGCCCTCTAGTAGTAAAATAATCAGGAATGGTATCAAGATCGTCACTTAAAAACTTTAAAATATGATTTGCCTCAGTCAATTGACAAAAGTATTACCTGATTACTCAGTGTGAGGCAATATACTAAGCATTATAGGAGAACTAACTATAAATGAGATCTGACCTGTGCTCAGTTTATAGTCACCCAGAAAGTTAGTAGTACATCTTAAGAAGGCATTTCCTTTAGATCGCCGATCTTGCAGAATTGACAACTGAATCATCAGTAATGAGGACTTAAATTTTAATGTTATTTTCTATCAATGTAACTTCACAAATAATATACTATATATAATCTGTGTATATAAAAATAACAAATATGTATGTTCTCTTACACTGTTTTTCCAGACTGTTTTGGAAGTTGCTGACCGTTCAGGCACAGTGTTAGTGATTTTGTGGAATGCCCTATGTCCTGAGTGGTATAAAAGTTTGCGAGTTGGCTTAGTTCTTCTGCTTCAAGATTATTCTGTTAAAAAGAGTTATCAATTCAGGATGCATCCTCTCCCTGTGGATCCACAGATCAAATCAATTTCTACAATGGGTTAAGTATTCAACGAGTTTGTTGTCTGATAGCTATTTTGTTTATATACATTTACAAATGATCATAAAATTACTGAAGTTGTTATAGGCTGACAAACCTTTTAATTCTTTCATCCATAAGATTTTCAAGCAATTACGTAATTTAACAAATCCACATATTTATTAAGGAAAAGCATCTCAAATATTTGTTGATAAAAAGAGTGAGCTCTACTTGGGATGTATTCATTTTTGTTTTAGTTTGTCATACAATATTAAGTTAATGACCTGAATATATTTTGCTGTTAGTACTAGGTGCCATCTCAAAATGACTTTTGATAAGCTTTTGTGTTTTTTTTTTTTTTTAGATTTATTTATTTACTTGAGAAGCATAGTTACAGGGAGAATGAGAGACAGAGGTCTTCCATCTGCTGGTCCACTTCTGAAATGGCCACAATGCCAGCCCCGATAAGCTTTTATTTTGAAATAACTTCAGACTTCCATAAAAGTTGAAATTATAGGATAAAGCACTCCTATATACCCCTTGCCCATATTTAGCAATTATTTACATTTACATTTACCTTTGCTTTATCATTCTTTCTCTCCCTCTCCACACAAACACACACACACACACACTCACACTCACACACTCACACACACACACTGGGTCTTCCAAAAAGTTCCTAGAAATGTATATTTTGTAAAAACTATACATGGATTTCAAAAATTTTTTCACCAAAATAAACTTGCATTTTAATTCCATTTTTCCATGAACTCTTTGAAGTACTCTGAAGTATATATCACATACACACATACATACATATTTCTATATAATACATACACACATATATATATATTTCTGTCTGAACTATTTGAAAGTTATAGCCATTATACATACCCTTTAACCTCTAAATGTTTCAGTAATATTTCAGTGTATATTTACTAAGAACCAAGATCACATAATCATAGTACAGTTACCAAAATAAAGAAATTTAAAACTGATGCAACACTATTGTGTAACATTTAGTCAATATGCAAATATCGCCAATTGCTTCTAACTTGAAAGGGCTTTTCCTAATTAATGTTGAAATTTTTTTAAAGTTTTATTTATTTATTTGAAAGCCAGGGTTACAGAGAGGCAGAGGCAGAGAGGGGGAGAGGGGGAGAGGGAGAGAGAGAGAGAGAGAGAGAGGAGAGAAAGATCTTCCATCCACTGGTTCACTTCCCAAATGGCTGCAATAGCGGGAGCTGGGCTGATCTGAAGCCAGGAGCCAGGAGCTTCTTCCTGGTTTCCCACGCAGGTGCAGGTGCCCAAGGACTGGAGCCATCTTCTGCTTTCCCAGGCCATAGCAGAGAGCTGGACTGGAAGTGCAGCAGCCAGGAATCAAACCAGCACCCATATGGGATGCCGGTGCTGCAGGTGGTGGCTTTACCCACTACGCCACAGCACTGGCCTCTGAAATCTGCTTTGACATTGTAACACCTGATATTTCAGAATTGTTCAGGTCAATATATTATATGATTCCTTTTTTTATTAATGTGATTTTTGTATTAATTTTTCAGAATTATAGATTGCATCACAAGTTTAAGTACTATTTTTAGTTTATAATACTTTTATTCTGAATCTGTATTTATATGCTTTCTAATTCCCCAGCTAATCCATTAAGCTTAATTACTTAGAGAATAATTACACAAATGTGGAGGTGTTTGTTGTTTTCTTAAATATCTATCTTATGGGGAAAAAATCTCATGATTTCTTATTAAAATCATAAGCAGAGGTAGGCATTTGGCTAAGAAGTTAAGATGGCACTTGGGATGCTTTCATCCCATTTCAGAGTGCTTGAGTTCGAATCCTGGCTCCACTTCTGATTCCAGGTTCTTGCTAATTCACAATCTGGTAGGCAGCAGATAATAGCTCAAGTAGTTGGGTTCCTGCCACCCACATGGGAGACTCAGACTGAGTTTCAGGCTCTCAGCTTTAGCGTAGCCCAGCCTTAGCTATTGCAGGCATTTGGGGAAAGAACTAGGCAACTTGCTTCCTCCTCTCTCAAATAAATAAAGATAAATATTTTTATTTAAAAATGAGATATTGTCAGAATTAGCCATAGGATCAACATATGAAAGTCAGTTGATTTTTGTATACCCCAATAATAATGAATTAGACATTATAATTTAAAGATTTGTTTTTTATTTATTTAAAAGGCAGAATGAAAGAGAGGGGAAAGAGGAGAAAGAGGAAGGGAGAGAAAGATCATCTGCATATTGGTTCACTCCCCAAGTGGCCACAGCAGCCAAAGCTAGGCCAGGCCTACATCAGGGGCCAGGAACCCCTTATGGGTCTCCCAGGTGGGTAGCAGCAGCTTAGGTACTTTGGTCATCTTCTGTTGCCTTCCCTGGCACATTAGGCAAGAAATCTCTTTGGGAAGCAGGCTAGCCAGGACTGGAACTGTTGCTCTGATATGAGATGCTGTCATTACAAGTGGCAGATTAACTCACTGTGCCACCATGCCAGCTCCAGAAGTTATCATTTAGGAAGCATCATTTGCATTCTTTGATAATAACTATCAGGTATCTAGAAGTCTAACAGAAAATAGGTAAGAACCATTTGGAAATGATTATAACACATTATTGAAAAACATTGAGAAAGACCTAAATAAACTGGAGGAATATCCAGTATTCACAGGCAGGAGGTTAGTCTCAATTTCATAAATATGTCAAGTCTTCCCAAATTAATCTAAAGATTAAGTGCCAGGGCCGGCACTATGGTGCAGTGGGTTAATGCCCTGGCCTGCAGCGCCAACATTCCTTATAGATGCTGGTTTGAGTCCTGGCTGCTCTATTTCCAATCCAGCTCTTTGCTAATGCACCAGAGATAGCAGCAGTGGATGGCCAAAGTACTTGGGCCCCTGAACCCATGTGAGACACCCAGAAGAGGCTCCTGGCTTCAGATTGGCCTAGTTCCAGCCATTGTGGCCATTTGAGGAGTGAGCCAGTGGATGGAAGACCTCTCTCTCTCTCTGTCTCTACCTCTCTCTGAAACTCTTTCAAATAAATAAAATAAATATTTTTTAAAAATAAAGATTAAGTGCTATGCCACCAGATTTTCTTCTAGAAGTGACAAACTGATTCAGAAATTCATTTGAAATTTAGTGAAACAATTACAGAAAACTTCCCCAATTTGGAGAAAGAAAGATGATATTATGGGCCAATCTCATATCACCTAAAAATCAACCTTACATGTATCAAATTTTTAAATTTGAAAGATAAACTTTTGGAAGAACTTACAATACATTTATCACTTAAAATTACTTGGGATTATCCTGCAATTGTGAACATTTACATATCATACAATCCAGGATATCTAGTCGTAGGTATAATACCTTAGAAAAACCCTTGCCTCTTTGTGCAGAACGATTCAAAAATGTTCATAACAGCATGTTTATAATAGCAAAAACCTGGAATTAATCTAGATGTTCACCAACACAATAATGGACAAGTAAATTGTAGAATATTAAACACATTGGAACATTGTTCAGTTGTGGAAATGAAAATAAAAATACCACATAGAGTTACATGGATGAATTTTAGTAATATAATGCTGAGTGGAGAAAGTAACCCTTGAGTATTGTTAAGATATGATTCTAGGGGCCGGTTCTCTGGCTTAATGGGTAAAGCCACCACCTGCAGTGCCGGCATCCCATATGGGCACTGGTTCAAGTCCCAGTTGCTCCACTTCCAGTCCAGCTCTCTGCTATGGCCTGGAAAAGCAGTAGAAGATAGCCGATGTGCTTGGGCCCCTGCACCTGCATGGGAGAACAGGAAGAAGCTGCTAGCTCCTGGCTTTGGATCAGCACAGCTCCGGCTGTTGCAGCCATCTGGGGAGTGAACCAGCGGATGGAAGACCTCTCTCTCTCTCTGCCTCTCCTTCTCTCTCTGTGTAACTCTGACTTTCAAGTAAATAAATAAATCTTTAAAAAAAAATTTGTCATGGGACTCCAAATCCCTTTTAAGCTGGGTAGTAAAAATAGCATTTTAAGTGTTAACGTGAGCATGTGGATAGGATTAAGTGTTAAAGTGATCATATAAATAGGATTATGTGTTTGGTAATAATAATAGATAGAATTAAAAAGGAGTGAATGCTCCAACATGAGAAGCAATCCATACAGCAGATTCATAGAATAACAATCGCTTTAAGTAGCTCTCTGGCCTCAGAATCAGCCCGTAAGGCATTCTGGCCTGGCTGAAAGGCCCATGAGAGCATTTCAGGCATGGAAAACCAAGATACTGGGGCTGGCGCCATGGCTCACTTGGTTAATCCTCCGCCTGCAGCACGGGCATCCCATATGGGCTCCGGGTTCTAGTCCCGGTTGCTCCTCTTCCAGTCCATCTCTCTCCTGTGGCCCGGGAAGGCAGTGGAAGATGGCTCAAGTGCTTGGGCCCCTGCACCCATATGGGAGACCAGGAGGAAGCACCTGTCTCCTGGCTTTGGATCGGCGTAGCTCCAGCTGTAGCGACCATTTGGGGGGTAAACCAACGGAAGGAAGACCTTTCTCTCTGTCTCTCTCACTGTCAAACTCTATCTGTCAAATAAAAAAAAAAAAAAGGAAAACCAAGATACTGTGGCAAAAAAGTGTCCTACACAGAGGACTTTTGTGGGGTGAGGTCCCAGTGGAAAGAAGTAGTTATCAAAGATGGATGTCCTTTTCTCTGAAAGGAGGAGAGAACTTTCACTTTGCTTATAGCCTTGTCTAAATACTGAAGGAGTTTGTGGGTTCAAAAGGCTTCCATAGCCTAGGGAGCTCATGTCCAGAGACTCGGGTGATCACTGACCACATACATAAGTGAATTAATTGTTAAATTAACAACAGGAGTCACTATGCACTAACTTCCCATGCAAGACTTTTGTCCTAAAAGAGTTGGACTATAAGAGTTAATAGTAAAACTTGTTCTCAAAGATTTACTTTGTTTTAGTGTATTAAGTGGAGGGTATTATTAAGGCTCATAAGTTGTAGTTATGTCTAAGTGCTCGCAAAAGATGTATCATTCTTGGGTTCTTCTTTAAAGTTAATTAAGTTTATCAAAAAAAAGAATGCTTAAAAAATGAAATGAAATCAACTTCGAGATGCAGTGACTTTGAACAACCCATGTTTTGACTGTTGAGGAATAGTTTTTTTTTTTTCATACAATTTTTAAAACTCTTTACTTAGTATAGAGTTAATCATATGTGTATGATTGAAAATAGATCTTAGTGAAAAATAAGAATGGGAATAGGAGAGGGAAAAGGAAGAGGGGTGGGAGTGTGGGTGGGAGGGCAGGTACAGTGGAAGAATCACTATGTTCCTAAAGTTTGATTTATGAAGTGCATGAAGTTTGTCTTCCTTAAATAAAAGTTTTCTTTGGGAAAAAATTCAAAAAGGATTAAAAAAGAAGTATGGAATGGTGATAGCGAAAGGATGTGGATATTTATGGAAGAAGACTATAGTCCCCATTAAGTATTTTAGTTTTTATTGGTGTATTGGATTTTGTGGGATTTTTAAGTATACTCATTATTATATCCAATAAAGAGACTTAAACTTAGTAAATAATTTAAAAAAAACTTGTTCTCAAAGAAAAAAATGATTCTATTGGCATATAGTTCAGAAACAAACACTGCCACTGGTATCATGTTTTAAGTGTAAAGACAAACAAGTGATAAAGCCTGTTTTTTTTTTTTTTTTGGCAAAAAAATTACAAAATTCAAGATATGGTTAAACTTTGATGTTTGATGATGGAATGTTTTGATAGAGATAAAAAGGTCATTGATAATGGTCTAGTTCTTGGGTTTAGTGGTGGATTTAAAAGTGTACAGTCTTATTATTTTACTGTGTAATTTATGCAGATATATATTCTTTAGTATATATTAGATACTATATTCAAAGAATATGTTTGTTTTCCAGAAATTGGCCTGAATCTTCGAGATCCTCCAACTAATATAATTATCATTCCAGAAAATCAGGTTAAACCAGAATGGAAATTGCCAAAATTAAATTATCGATTTATCACAAGGTAAAACAGTTTCTTGTAAAATGCTTTAAATATCAATTTTCAATGTTGCTAAAAATAATGTATTATATTTGCTAAAAATCTCCCCAAAATTATGCTGTAGCAGTTATGTAATATACAGTTTCACAGTCACTGTTGAAGGATGCCTTTTCATTGATTAAAGATGTAATATCTATTTTATTACTTTTCTTTTTTAGATCAGAACTGGATGATATGCCAAAAGATAGTATCTGTGATGTTATTGGCCTTTTAGTTTTTGTAGGAAGGGTCCAGCGATCAAAAAAGAAAGGTAAAATTTTTAAGTTTGAAATTCATAAAAAGTATTTCACTAAGTAATTCTATCTTCATATGTATATGTAATCAGCTATCTTCATTTATTTTAATATTCTATCCAAATATAGAAAACCGTGAAGATTTTTGGTCTTATCGTTGGATTCACATTGCTGATGGATCTTCAGAGCAACCATTTATTGTGGAACTGTTTTCTACATCTCAGCCAGAAATCTTTGAAAATATTCATCCAAGTACTTAATTCATAATATTTTTATCCTTTTGGTTTTAGAAGCAGGAGCATTAACTTTTTAAAAATATAGTTGAAAATTATGATTTATAGAAGTGGCATGTTATTGAGTTAGCAAATTCTGGCAGTCTGACAATGTTTAATATTTGCTATATTAATATGACATTTGGTATTATAGATATTAACCACCTTTGATTGTCTAAAGAATTAACTTGGGATTCAGACTAGTTTTTGAGAAAACAGATATTCTTATCAATTCTCATTGTTAGAATTCACACATTAAAGAAACTTAAGATTCAGTAAAATTTAAGACATTCCTAACATGATACTTATGAGTAGAGGATTGGCAGCATATGTGATTAAATAATGACAGTGGTAAGTATGATTCCACTTGAGTATGAAATTAATATTAGGTTTGGTGGTCTTATACCAGCTGGTCACTATTTTGTTATTTTGGCAAAGGTGTTTCCCCCTTGCATTCATTCACATATAGAAATATTTTTCCATTAGTTTTATTTATCTGAAAATACTTTAGGAATGCCTTATTATGTATTTCATATAACATACAGGCTACTCTTCAGATATAAGAAAAAAGTACATTTATTACTTTTCAACAATTTGAATGAATGTTTGCTTACTTGAATTCAGAACATCAAGCTATTTAAGTGCTATTTCACTATTGTCTAAGTGATTACATGAATAGATAATGATTGTTATCTGTGTTAAATGCTTGCCAACATTGAGGAAACTCTCAGTATTTATTACATCTATTTTTTTTTTTACCAAAAGTAAGACAGAAATTATAGAGCACCAAAAACCTCGAGGCTATATACAGAGCTGTTCTCTTCCTTCAGTGTCTATGCAAAACAGTATTACACACATCTGCCTCATTAGATCTTGCTCTTTGCTTGTGAGGCTAAGTTTTTAAATATGTCTAAATAAAACAACCTCATGCCAAGTTTTGGAGAATGGGACAGAAAGAACATTATGGCCATAACCAAGGCATGAGCCTCCAAAGTGAGTGGGCTGTAACCACATCACCTACTCTTAGGGCCTAAGAGATGAACAGCAATGACATATAGTGATAATTCCATTACCTTCTTTTTGGTGCATTTTATGGCCAAGTCCTTTTGTTTGTAGCCACTTTAAATAGCAGTTGTTCACAGAAACTTTGCAAAGCATGCATATTCTATTTCTTGTGATAGCACAAAATATGTTTTTCCCAGAAAGGTACATTCTGAGAACCTTGTTGAAAATTATTCTAGTACAATAGTTGACAACACTCGCAATTTGTTTTTATCTTTTGATCAAGAGTGAAAGAAAAAATAGCCTTTAAATGAATGGTGAGTATTAAGGGGGCTCCATGGGATCATGACCATGGATCTTCTGGAATAATACCAAAATCCTTTGATATATGGTATATATATATATATATACACACACACACACATACAAATATATATTTCCCAAAGTATAGAACAATTAAATAAAAGTATAAATTTATTTTGGTACAAAAACATTTGAAATTCATGCATTTTTTATAATATACATTTCAATGGAATTTTTGAAGACCCTTCAAACATAAACATGCTCACATACACAAACACAAAAGAAGTTGAATAAGAGAAGATAATATTATGAGTTTAAATATGCCAGATGCTTATAGATATCATCTCATTTTGTGCTGTCTGCTATCTTCTAAAAATTTTAAAGAGTTCATTTTTTAATAAATTATCAGGTAAGAAAGTAAATATCCAGAGAGTTTAAGTTATGTCCTGGGGAAGACAAACAGAAAGTGTTAGATATGACTCATATTTTTAGTAGCCATGAAGTTAGCATTAGATGTCTCTTCTTTTTAAAAAATTGTTATTGTTTTAAGAACATAATGTGACATCTACTGTCTTAACGGATTTTAGAGGTTTTGTTTCTGTTTAAAGAGATCTTCCATCCACTAGTTCACTCTCTAAATGGCCACAACAGCCAGATCTGGGCCAGGGTGAAGCCAAGAACCAGGAACATGGGTGACAGCGGCCCAAGTACTTGCACCATCTTCTACTGCCTTCCCAGGCCAAGTAGCAGGGAGCTGGATTAGAAGCAGTGTAGCCATGGGGCCAGTGCTGTGGCACAGCAGGTTAATACCCTGGTCTGAAGCGCCGGCATCCCATATGGGCGCCGGTTCTAGTCCCGGATGCTCCTCTTCCACTCCAGCTCTCTGCTATGGCTTGGGAATGCAGTGGAAGATGGCCCAAGTCCTTGCGCCCCTGCACCCGCGTGGGAGACCCAGAAGAAGCTCCTGACTCTCTGGCTTTGGGTTGGTGCAGCTCCAGCCGTTGCGGCCGTCTGGGGAGTGAACCATCAGACGGAAGACCTCTCTGCCTCTCCTTCTCTCTGAGTAACTCTGACTTTCAAGTAAATAAATAAATATTAAAAAAAAAAAAAGAAGCAGTGTAGCCTGAACTAACCAGCCCTCAGATATGAAACGCATGCATTGCAAGTGGCTGTTTAACCTGCTGTGCCATATTGCTGGCCCCTACAGATTTCTTTAATATTCCTTTATCAATATCTCTAGCCGTTAATATTCATTTGCTTTCAGTGTTTGAAATAAAAGAAAAGCTATATAAATAAAGGTACTTCTTAGCACTTAGATGAATTTATTTTCGTTGCTACAGAATAAAGAACTAATAAATGTGAGATGTAGTAAATGAGTTTCAAGTTATGCTCTAGAGATTTTTATTTTCAGATTAGAATTTACTTTTACATAATTACAAGAATTTATATTTATTTCTAGTTTTTAAGACCATAACTTTCGGCCGGTGCCATGGCTTACTAGGCTAATCCTCCGCCTGCGGTGCTGGCATCCCATATGGGCACCGGTTCTAGTCCCAGTTGCTCCTCTCCCAGTCCAGCTCTCTGCTGTGGCCCGGGAAGGCAGTGGAGGATGGTCCAAGTGCTTGGGCCCTGCACCCGCATGGGAGACCGGGAGAAGCACCCAGCTCCTGGCTTTGGATTGGCACAGCACTGGCAGTGGCGGCCATTGAGGGAGTGAACCAACGGAAGGAAGACCTTTCTCTGTCTCTCTCTTTCTCACTGTCTAACTCTGCCTGTCAAAAAAATAATAATTAAAAAAAGACCATAACTTTTGGCCAGTGCCGCGGCTCACTAAGCTAATCCTCCACCTGCGGCGCTGGCACCCCAGGTTCTAGTCCCAGTTGGGGCGCCAGTTCTGTCTCGGTTGCCCCTCTCCCAGTCCAGCTCTTTGCTGTGGCCCGGGAAGGCAGTGGAGGATGGCCCAAGTGCTTGGGCCCTGCACCCGAATGGGAGACCAGGAAGAAGCACCTGGCACCTGGCTCCTGGCTTCGGATCGGCATAGCGCTGGCTGTAGTGTCCATTTACGGAGTGAACCAACGGAAGGAAGCCTTTCTCTCTCTCTCTCTCTCTCTCTCTCTCTCTCTCTCACTGTCTAACTCTGCCTGTCAAAAAATAAAAAAAAAATACCATACCTTTTGACGTGCAATGCACTGGAATTTAAAAAAAATAGTTGGATTAATGAAACTTTTATAACTAAACAACCAGATAGTTAAAAATAATAGACAACTTTTAAAAGTAGTTGAAGTTAAAAACATTTACAATCTCATTTTCATGGTTTCCTTTTTTAGAAACCATGAAGTTCATTAGTGAAGGAAAAAGAAAATAGGTATGGGGCTGGCGCTGTGGCATAGCAGGTATAACCGCTGCCTGCAGTTCCAGCATCCCATATGGGCGCTGGTTCATGTCTTGGCTGCTTCACTTCTGATCCAGCTCTCTGCTATGGCCTGGGAAAGCAGTATAAGAGGGCCCAAGTCCATGGGCCTATACACCCTTGTGGGAAGACCCGGAGGAGGCTCCTGGCTCCTGGCTCCTGGCTCCTGGCTTCGGATTGGTGCAGCTCTGACCGTTTGCGGCCAATTGGGGAGTGAACCAGCGGATGGAAGACCTCTCTCTGCCTCTGCCTCTCCTTCTCTCTCTGTGTGACTCTGACTTTCAAATAAATAAATAAATCTTTAAAAAAAGAAAATAGGCGCTATAAGCCCTGTAATTGAAGCATAAAATCTGATTAAAATAAAGACATGAGATATTGAAAACACTTGCATAAGCAAATACAAGTTAATATTGTATAGTCCTGTCTGGTGGAAGAAGTTTTGGAGTTTAGGGTTAGATTGAGTTAATTAGTGAAAGTATCATAGAGCGTTTTTCTCTGTAGGAAGCTACTGTTCACCTTGTTGGGTGCCCAATTAGAATGACACTTAGACTCTTCATTTGTGCAGCAAGCAAATTGATTTAGTTAGATGCAGCCATTGTATTTTCTAAAGAAAAGGCCTCTGGTTAAAAAAAAAAAAAGTAGGCTAGTAAATATTAGGTTCTTTTTACTTCAGCTCTGATCAGAGGACTGGCAGCACCAGTACCATCTGGAATTGTATTAGAAAACAAATTCTTTGTGCTGGCGTTGTGGGCAGCATAAAGCCACTGTTTGCACCACCAGCATCCTATATCCTGTGAGTCCCAGTTGCTTCACTTCCAATCTAGCTCTCTGCTTATGTGCCTGGGAAAGCAGAAAAAGATGGTCTAAGTGCTTGGGCCCCTGCCACTCACATAGAAGAACTAGATGGAGTTCTGGGTTCAGGCTTTGGCCTAGCCAAGCCCCAGCCAATGCAGCCATTTGGGGAATGAACCAGCAGATGGAAGACCTCTCTCTCTCTCCATATCTTTCTCTCTCTCTCACTTTGCCTTTCAAATAAATAAAGAAACCTTTAAAAAAGAAATGCAGATTCTCAAGTCCTACCCCAGACCTACTGAAGCCGAATTTTAATAATGGTCCCTTGTAATTCCAATGTTCATTAAAGTTTATGAAGCATGTGTAGATCCTCATCTTGATGTGTCTGCTTTGAAATGCAAAAGTAAATTCATAAATGTTGTCATTTTCTACAGTGACACATTTTATGTGCACCCAATTGAAAGTTGTCAGAAATGATGCTCAAGTACCTAAGCTGCTTTACCTCACCACTACAAATGAAAGTCGAGTGTTTATTACTGGTGAGTAATTTCATTCTGTATATTGTATTGACTGTGTACATATGTTTTTCTCTTCACTAGAAACCTTTCACACATATTAACTTTTATGTTAAAATAGTCAACTACAAGATAGGTTTTTTTTGCCCCTTTTTATTTATAAATTAAGGAAAGTTTTATTACTTGTCTACAAACACAGTAGACCCTGATATACATGGGTTCTGCATCCATGGGTACAACCAATCATAGATCAAAAGTATTTGAGGAAAAAATTTCATCTGTGCTGAACATATACAGGCCATTTTTTCTTGTCATCATTCCCTATCAGTATAAGCATGTTTCAACAATAAATATTTGACCATTGAACTATATTGCTTCTGATTATTTATGATTGAAGCAATGATTTTGTAACTCCTTGGAAAATTGCATTTTTGTCCTTCAGTTAACTTTTGTTTGATGTAGAATATATAGAATCATAGATTGATTGAAGAATATTTACCCTGTTCCACAATATAGATTTAGTTAGCAATATTTCTTATTTTATTTATTTTCATTTTATGAGAGAGAAAGAAAGTCAGTCAGTCTTCTATCTGTTGGTTCACTCTCCAAATGCCCACAAAAGCCGGGGTTGGGCCAAGCTGAAACCAGGAGCCAGGTACTCAATCTACATGGAGAAGCAGAGACTTGAACCCAGGCCCTCCAATATGGTATGCACATCCAGTCAGCATTTTACTCACTGTAAAAAATGCCCACCCCTCATATTTTAAAATAGTGCCAAATAAAGCAAGAAGTTGTGCTAGTTTTTGGTCCTAAGAACTCACATTTTATTTACACAACAATAAGTATTTCATTACTTATCTACAAGTACAATCAACCCTCCTCCAAGTCCATGGTTCCACATCCCTGGATTCAGCCAACCACAAATCAAAAAGATTGGTTAAAAAAAAAAAAAAAACTGTGTCTGCACTGAATGTTTCCAGACATTTTTTTCCTTATTTTATCCATAAAAAATACAGTGTAACATGTCTCTGCATAGCATTTATACTGTATTTGGTATTATAAGTAATGTAGAGTTGACTTAAAATACATGGGAGGAGATTCATAGGTCATATGTAAATACTATGCCATTTTATATAAGGGACTTGAATGTCTGCAAATTTGGGTATCAGCAGGGAGTCTTGGAACCAGTGCCCCATGGATCCTGAGGAATGATTAATATTTTTCTATATTTCCTCAAATAACAGAATCAAAATAATAAAGACAAAAATTTTCGAATGTGGGTGAGGAAATAGTTTGGAATGAGATGTTTCCCAGAATGCTACCATGGTGTCACTTAAGAAATTTGTCAACACAAGAGTACTAGGGGGGCCGGCCCTGTGGCTCACTTGGTTAATCCTCCGCCTGCGGTGCTGGCATCCCATATGGGCGCCGGTTCTAGTCCCGGCTGCTCCTCTTCCAGTCCAGCTCTCTGCTGTGGTCCGGGAGTGCAGTGGAGGATGGCCCAAGTGCTTGGGCCCTGCACCCGCATGGGAGACCAGGAAGAAGCACTTGGCTCCTGGCTTCGGATCGGCGCAGCGCACCAGCCGTGGCAGCCATTTGAGGGGTGAACCAATGGAAGGAAGACCTTTCTCTCTGTATCTCTCTCTCACTGTCTATAACTCTGCCTGTCAAATAAAAAAAAATAAAAGTTCTACTTAAAAAAAAGAGTACTAGGAAAGTGTTACATATTTGAATATCTTTGTCAATACTTTATAAACACTAATAATGTTAGGTATAAGTATGGCACTTTTAAGGATGTTTTAAGAACATGAATTTAAATTCTGAGCAGTATTCATAGGCAGTTTAGTTCATACCTGATTAATATGAACTTTAATATTTCCAGTTAATGTGTGATTTAAAAATGTTTTTCAGAAGATGTCAATCATTTGGATAGTTAGAAAAATGTAGATTATTAGTTTCTGTTTTTCCTGTGGTTTTTAGTATCCTATAAGCAGCTACAGTTCAGCCCACTTAAACTCTGATCAGTCTTCTTTCTTTCTTGAGATTTGTTTACTGTCTTTGGGTAATAATTTGCTATAAAGTGAATAAATGAACTTGACCTGTTATTGGTGATATGAGAAATTGTTTTAATATTATAATATTATACAGAAAGGTTTGCACAGTTTACTATAGTGATCTTTTCCTCCTCTTTTATGCTTTACCCTTCTTGCAAGGAGATCTAAACGACCAGCCCTATACCAATGATACCAAGGTACAAAACTTTATTCAGTGGATTGCCACAAAGACTGAATCTGGAGAAGTGAAGAATACTGTTATTGGTGGATATTACCCCTATCCACCAGTGCCAGAGACATTTTCCAAGTATAGTAGTTCTGTTAAAGGTACTGTGTAATTGCCAGTCCTTCATATGTTTATGTACTATTACTATGTTACACATTACTTCATCTAGTCATCTTTATTTTCTTTTATAGGAGTATATTATGGTATAGTATAGTAACATTCACTGATAAGATTTTTGCCTCCTAATGGTTTATGTTTTTATTTTATTAGATTGAATGAAAAGAGAGAACACATTAATGTCACTGAGATAACATCTGACCTTGGTAGATCTCAACTCCTATGACATAACATAAAAAGTCTGAAGATACCTAAAAGGAACACTGAACAATTTGATGCCTTGATTCTGGATACTAATAACTGTTTTATGCTACTCTTGATATATATTGTGTATATGATTAAGTGCTACCTTTAAATAAAGAATGACACTGTAGTGAGATACTGAATTTGGAATTGAAGTACTGACAAGAAAGCTAACATTACTTTGGTTTTTAGTGGCATTAATATGTGACAGTTGAAAAGTTTTAACATAAGCATGTTCTTTTGTAAAAGCTATAAGATAACTGCACGGTTTAGGGAAAAAAAGTGAAACTTTGAAATGCTAACCTGCCATCTCATAAATAGTGTCATCCTCTTATACATCACAATACCAGCAATATGTGGTATTGCTTGAAATAACTAAAATGTGTTTTTGTATGTGGAGGATGTGCAATAGTTTAGAGTTTGAAATATGATATATAAATTACATTCAGTATGCCAAGTATATGTTGAAAATAAAGACTCTAGACTAAAAACCTGCATCACAATTTAACTTATAAATGTATTTTGTTAATTTTTAAAAATTTCACAGGAGATGCCAGATATCAAAACAAAATCTCATGTATTTAAGTTCATGGAGCACCTTTATAATTTCATGGTGTGAAATTACATTGCAAATCTAATTCTTATTTTTGTCATTTCAGTTCTTTAAAACTTAAAATTTCCTCGGAATTACTCTTTTTTAGTTCATTCTCTCTTGACACCTGTAAGTGAAGTGAAGAAGGAGATTGAAGTCTTGCAGTATAGGGAGCAAAAACGTATTGCAATTCAGGGGATTATTACTGTTGTAAAATATATCCCCCATAGCAGTGCAGCAGAAAGTGCCTCTGCATCAGAAACATATCAGGTATGGTACCAGAGAATTGATAGTGTATCTCTGAAAGCACTTTGATCATAGTAATAATTGGTAACTGGAATATTTTATTCAGAACTCACATGTATTAACTCATAATGATGTAAACCTGTGAGAAAAACTTCATTTCAGTTTTTTGTTTCCTTTTTCCATGATTTATTTTGGGACAAACTGGACTAATGGCCACAGCCTCTGACCTCTACCAAGGCTTTCAAAACCTAGCATCTTGTTTACTTTGTGTATAATTTGAGCCTGTCATGAATATCTTAAACTTCCAAGGGGTATACATGATTGTATTGTTTCCCTACCTTTTGCCTAGGCCCGAACTATAAGAAAGCTTTCACAGTAAGTTTTTCCTCTGTATCTGACATAGTAGTCTTACCCAGGCTCTATATAAGAGATAGAAGTAAGTCTTGAGGCTAAATGGTCTAGTAGAGAGGCCAGTTCTGAAATATAGGTAGAATTAAGACAAATGAGTTTTATTTTTCCCCGGAATTTATCTTTTTTAAAACTATGTTCAGAATTACTATTCATATGGAAATAAGCATTGAATACAACATTTTAGATAAGCTAGTAAAGAAAGACTTTTGCTTATCTTCCCTTTTGAAATATTTAATAGCGGATACTTTACATTTAATCATCTTTATGAAAGCACTGTTACGATTGCAAAGTTTTGCCACAGCTCTCAACATTATGAAAAATGTGTAAACTAAAATTACAGTCTTTTAAAATAGAAATATTTTTGTGGATTAATTTAAAAGGTTTTCTCTAAATTACTGGTTTTAGAATGCTGACCAAACCTCAACATCCAAAGCATCTAGAGAAGAAAGTGAAAGTCAGGGAAGAATCAGTACATGGCATCAATATGACAGGTCTATGAGTTCCCAGTGTTTTCAACCTGCATCTCTAAGTCCAAGCAATAAAAGAAGAATTCTTCAAGGCCCATATTCTAAACCGTAAGTCATTTGTCAGTTGCAAAGCATAATTTTTTCTTTTAGTTTATTTCTATCCTATAAAATAAGTAATTATGATAAAAGTTGTATTAATTTGTTAAGGAATGTTTTAACAAAGAACCACAACTGAATGTCTTAAAAACAGAAATTCACCATAAAACAGTTCTGGAGCCTAGACTGTAAGATCAAGGTGTTTGTAAAACAGTTCTGGAGGCTAGACTGAAGATCAAGGTGTTGACAGGGTTGGATCCTTCTGAGGATTATGAAGAAGTATCTGTTCCTTGCTTTTCCCTTGGCTTCTGCTGGCTTGCTGGCAATCTTTATCATTCCTTGACTTGTAGAAGCATCATCTCAATCTCTGCCTTCATCTTCCCATGGAGTTATCCTTGTGTGCTTGTCTGTGTCCAAATTATCCCCTTTTTGGATAGGGACAACAGCCATATGGGATTAGGGTCCTACCCTACTCTAGTGTACATTCATCTTTTTTTTTAAGATTTATTTATTTGCTTGAAAGACAGAGTTATACACAGAGATAAGGAGAGGCAGAGAGAGAGAGAGAGAGAGAAAGAGAGAGAGAGAGAGAGAAAGGGAGAGAAAGAGAGAGAGAGAGAGGTCTTCCATCCCCTGGCTCACTCTCCAATTGGCCGCAACGGCCGGAGCCAGGAGCCAGGAGCTTCTTCTGGGTCTCCCATGCGTGTACAGGGGCCCAAGGACTTGGGCCATCTTCTACTGCTTTCCCAGGCCATAGCAGAGAGCAATCCAACCCTCAACATAGCAAATTACATCTGCAATGACCCTGTTTCCAAACAAGTTCACATTCTGAGGTATTGAAGGTATGCACATTATCAAGTGAATTTTGGTGAAAGGGAACACAGTTCAACCCATAGTATTCTGTTTCTCTGACCAAAAGTTCATGTCATTTTAACATACAAATATATTCACCATATCACAGCCTCCTCAAAACACTTAACCCATGCCAGCATCAATTCTAGTATGAAATTTCATCTAAATATCATTTAAATCACATATGGATGAAACTTAGGATGATTTCAACCTGGAGCAAAATTAGTCTCCATCAGTAAACCTGTAAAATCAGACAAGTTATCTGCCAAAATATAATAGACATAAGGTTAGTTATTCCCGTTCTGAAAGGGAGAAATTTGAAAGAACAAAGAGGTCATGGGTCACAAGCAGCTCCAAAACCTAGCAGGGAAAATTCTGTTACATTTTAAAGCGTTGAAATTGTGCTCTCTGGCTTAATGCTGTGTTCACCAGGCCTACCAAGGTAGCAACCCTACTTTACCCTGAGTCCTGGCCCCACCTTTGGAAATGTAAAGGTGAGCCTGCCCTCTGGAACTAAAGAGGTGGCCCCACCCTTGGGATCATTCATCTCTTTTATTGAAGAATAATACCTGTTTGTGGCCAGATATAATTGTCAGCTCATTTCCTGCATTCTATATTCCTGTAGAATCAGAGAAGTCTGACAGCCTTCCTCATTTTATGGTATCTCAGTCTGCCTCATTCCAAATAGGCAACTCTTCTGTTTTGAGGGTTGATTAGATCCATAAATCACAAGCCTAATCTCTTGAGCAAATGGTTGTCTGGCAACACCTTTGGTGCTCTCTACAATAAGCTTTCTTGTCTGCAATATGAATAGGCTGAGAATTTTCCATGTCTTCACATTCTAACTTTATCTTTCTTAATAATTCCCACTTGATCTCTCTCTTCTCATAGTCTACCATAAGCAGCAATGAGAAATCAGGCCATGCCTTCAACACTTCATTTAGAAATCTCTTCAGCTAAACATCCAGGTTTATCACTTAGAAGTTCAACTTCCAAATCTAAAATAACACAATTCATATAAGGCCTCTGCCACTTTATAATAAGGATCACCTTTCCAATAAGAGTCTTCATTTCCATCTGAAACATGACCAGAAGTACCTTTTACATTCATATTTCTAGATAACTTCTGTTCTTGACAGTATATTTTGTTATCTAACAGAATAGAAGCTTCCTCCACATTTCTCCTCTTTTCCTTCTGAACCCTCACCAAATTATCCTTTAAAAATTATTTATTTATTTGAAAGGCAGTCTTAGTGAGAGGGAGAAAGACAGAGAAAGAGATATTCCATCTGCTGATTCACTCTCAGATAGACAGAATAGCCAGGGCTGGACCAGGCTGAAGCCAAGAGCCAGGAGCTTCATCCGAGTCTCCCACATGAGAGGCAGGGCCATCTTCCAAGTACTTGGGCCATCTTCCACTGCTTTCTCAGCTGCATTAGCAGGAAGCTGTATAGGAAGTGGAGCAGCCAGGACTCCAATGTGCCCTTATATGGGATGCTGGTGTCATAGGAGGTTGCTTAACCTGCTGTGCCACAACACTGGTCCCCAGATTCTTTAAGGATCATATTTCTTTCTTTTTTTTTTTTTTTTTTGATAGGCAGAGTGGACAGAGAGAGAGAGAAAGAGAGAAAGGTCTTCCTTTGCCGTTGGTTCACCCTCCAATGGCAGCGCTGCAGCCGGCGCACCGCGCTGATCCGATGGCAGGAGCCAGGTACTTATCCTGGTCTCCCATGGGGTGCAGGGCCCAAGGACTTGGGCCATCCTCCACTGCACTCCCTGGCCACAGCAGAGAGCTGGCCTGGAAGAGGGGCAACTGGGACAAAATCCGGCGGCCCGACCGGGACTAGAACCCAGTGTGCCGGCGCCACAAGGCGGAGGATTAGCCTAGTGAGCCGCAGCGCCGGCTAAGGTTCATGTTTCTATCAACAGTCTTTTCAAGGCAATCTAGGCCTTTCCTGCTATGCACTTCAAAGCTCTTTCAGATCTGCTCAGTATGCAGTTCCAAAGGTAATTCTGCAGTTTTAGGATTTGGTTATAGCAGCATCCTATTTCCCAACACCAAAATATGTATTAGTTTTCTAGGGTTGCTGTAATAAAGTATGGAAACTGGGTGGCTTAAACAACAGAAAGTTGGGCAAGAATTTAGCACAGTAGTTGCATGCCCACATCCCATATTAGAGTGCCTGGGTTCAAGTCCCAGTTCCATTTCCAATTCCAGATTCCTGCTAATATATACACCTGGATTCAGCAAGTGACAGCCCAAGTACTTGTGTCATTTCCACCCACATGGGAGACACAGAAGGAGTTCCAAGCTCCTGGCTTCAGCTTGCACCAGCCCGAGTTCTCACAGGCATTTGGAGAATGAGTCAACAGATGGAAGATCTCCCTTCCTCCGCTTAAATTATAATTGTGGGGACCAGAAGCCAGACACCAAAGTGTCAGCTGGGTTGGTTCCTACTGAGGGCTGCAAGGAAGAATCCATTTTCTGTCTCTCCCTCTCCCCTAACATCTGGTGGTTTTCTGGAAACCTTGTTCCTTGGCTTTCAGAAGCATCACATCAATCTCTGCCTCTGTTTTCACATAGAGTTCTCCCTGTATACATATCTGTATCCAAATTTCAACATTTTATCTCAGTATATCAGTCATATGGACTTAGGAATCCACCATACTGCAGGATAACCTCATCTTAACTCATTATGAGGGGTTTTCAAAAAGGCCATGGATGGTCAGGCATTTTGTGCAGCAGTTAAATCACCACTTGGGATGCTCATATCCCATATCAGAGAACAAAGTTCAAGTCCCAACTCCTCTGCTCCCAATCCATCTTCCTGTTAATGCATACCCTGGGAGGCAGCAGATGTGGCTCAAGTACTTTGGTCCCTATCACCCACATGGGAGACCCACATTGAGTTCTGGGCTCCTAGCTTCAGCCTGGCCCAGCCCTGGCTGTTGTGAATGTTTGAGTAGTGAACCAGCAGATGGAAAATCTGTGTACATGTGCCCTTCAAATAAAATGAAGGGGCCAGCATTGTGGCGCAGTGGGTTAAGCTACCACTTATGACACTGGCATCACATATCAGAGTGCTGGTTTGAGTCCTGGTTGTTCTACTTCCAATCCAGCTTACTGCTAATGTACTTGGGAAGGCAGCAGAAGATGACTCAAGTGCTTGGACCCCTGCCACTCACATGGGAGACCTGGATGGAGTTCCAAGTTCTTGATTTTGTCCTGGCCCAGCCCTAGCTGTTGTGGCTATTTGGGAAGCAAACCAGCAGATGGAAGATGTCTCTCTGTCTCTCCCTCTCTCTATGACTCTGCTTTTCAAATAAATACATATTTATTTATAAAAATGAAAACTTTTAAAAAATATTTAGTTAGTTATTTGAAAGGCAGAGTTACAGAGAGGCAGAGGCAGAGAGAGGTGTTCCAGCCCCTGGTTCACTCCCCAAATGGCCACAATGGCTGGAGCTGGGCCAATCTGAAGCCAGGAGCTTCTTCTGGGTCTCCCACGTGGCTGCAGGAGCCCAAGCACTTGGGCCATCTTCTACTACTTTCCTAGGCCATAGCAGAGAGCTGGATCAGAAGTGGGGCAGCCAAGTCTCTAACCGGTGCCCATATGGGATGCTGGCAGTACAGGCAGTGACTTTACCTGCTATGCCACAGTGCCAGCCCCAGTGAAAACTTGTTTTTTAAAGATTTATTTATTTATTTGAAAGAGTTACAGAGAGAGAGAGAGAGTCTTTTTTTAAGACTTTATTTATTTGAGAGGTAGAGTTACAGACAGTGAGAGGAAGAGACAGAGAGAGAGGTCTTCCTTCCGTTGGTTTACTCCCCAACTGGCCACAACGGCCGGAGCTGCGCCTATCCGAAGCCAGGAGCCAGGAGCTTCTTCCCTGTCTCCCACGCGGGTACAGGGGCCCAAGCACTTGGGCCGTCTTCTACTGCTTTCCCAGGCCACGGCAGAGAGCTGGATTGGAAGAGGAGCAGCCTGGACTAGAACCGGCACCCGTATGAGATGCTGGTGCCACAGGCAGAGGATTAACCTACTGCACCATGGCACCGGCTCCAATGAAAACTTAAAAAAAAAAATCAGTTTATTTTTAAAACTTCATGGGAAAAAAAATTCATGGCAAATACATATTAGAAAACTATTCATGGGAGC